CAAGTTTTACTGTATATATATATGCATGTGTGCTTTAGTCTTTGGAGGCTGAGAGAGGACATAAGAAGATTCTGAACTGAATGGTAATATTTATTTCCTAAATTAAATCTTCTTTTAATGACCTTTTGATTTGTTACCCATAATCATTGTGACAATCTAAATTTAAAAAAATTATAAACTTGAGTTAATAAGGAGTACTTTGTAACAACACACAACAGTGTTACCAAGCAAGGTTTGTATTGCTAATTCTGATAATTATTGTATTTTAAATGTTTCTCACTTCCTTTGCTTGCTTTCTGTTTCATTGTTGCAGATGGGCGTATTTGCCCGCAAGAATACTTACGCTGCTGCTGGGTTTGTGGGGGGGGTTTTCTTGGGCCTGGCATCCTCATAAATGACTGCTCACTTCTGTTAGGTTTTTGGTTTTTTTCTCTCTCTATAAATTAGGTACGATTCTTCTCATGAGAAAAACACTTTTCACTTAAAAATGAGGACAACATGGATGAATTATTATGTAATTCGATGTTCTGAACCAGAAGACTCGGTACATTTTCTTGTGATAGGTAGTTATTTTGTTCAATGTACATTTTCACTTTCCAAAACTTACTTTGAAGCTTGTTATAATGTATGCCGTAAGTGTCTTCATGCAGCTCAGGACATTATTTGGAATACCTGTGCTACTTACTACCTGACCAAAATTCTGGTTAGTATTTTATGCTTTGTCGAACATCACAGAGAAATTTGGCATGTTCAAACAACATCTGTTCTGGTACCTGCCTACTGTGGGAGATGCATCCCATTATTTACAATGTCACTGCTTGTATGCAGTTACTGATTGACCCAGGTTACCGTTAATTAGGTATTTATAGAACTTTAATTTAGCAAATTAGTGAATAACTGATAAACATTAACATTTAAGTTATGTTGTTTTAAGTATTGTTTTCCTGCCACAGTATTTAAAGGTGTAATACATGTGATAGAAATGTATGTACAAATAAAGCAGTTGGTGCAGTGCACCCTTTCTTTGAACATACTGTTTGTCATCATTTCACTGTATGTGTTACTTCTAACATCCTCCATTAACATGATGTAATGTAAAATAATGCTTTGTAGTATGAATTACAAATACTTCTTTGTGCTGTTTAAATTTTTAAGTTCTGTGCTTTCCATGTACTATATCACAGTCACCAGTAGAGAGATTCCTTTAATATAGTTTCTTTCATGCATGTTTATGTGGATGACCATATCTTATAACTCCAGAAGACACGCACATTCACTGTTCTCAATACAAATAATTTGCCGAGGCTGCATTACTGGACCAAGAATGTTAGCATGGCAGCAGGTTTCTTTTAAGCTTTCATTTTGTAAGATTAATGTAGAAACTGTATGAAACTTACTGGAGACCATCCTGCAAATTTCCTAGTTTGGTTTCACTGCACAAGGTTGTGGTACATAATGTAGGTTATTTTTTTTATTATTATTTATTTCATCCATAGCTGTAGAGAATTACAATTGGACACGTCACACATCAACAACATCACATCAAATAGAACATAAGTAAAAAAAAACATAACATTCACACAGTGATTCATCACTATAATACAGCAATACATTTTTAACTTAAGAATAATAATAACTTTTAGTGAACCGACACTCTGGGTAATTTTAACTATTTGTAATTATTTTAATTNCAAAAAAAAAAGACATAAGAATAAATATTTTAAACATATAGACAGATTTATTAACAAGCAGTTTATGTCAAAAATTAATAATAAATACTCCAAAAAAAGGCATAAAAATATACAGACAGATTTATCAACAAAACAGTCCATGTCAACAATTATTAAAAAGTTCTTGAAGAGAATAGAAGACATTACACAACAAATAATTCTTTAGTTTCTTCTTAAAAACATTAAAATTTTTAACATTCTTTAATTCAGTTGGAAGGACATTAAATATTTTGGTTTAATATGTATGTTATCTGTGTCCTGATGCTGCTGCTAAAGAGGGCTGTGAAGTTGGTTAAGTTTATGTTTA